GCTAATGGTCTGGTATTTTTTCTATTGCCTTGCAATAAACACAGAAGTATCACCCTTTAGCATAAGTGTCTCCCCAAAAAAGTAATTGTAGTATATATAAAGGAGGGTATCTAAAATGCCATTAGTATTCTAATGTGAGTTTACTCTGAATGTGTTTAGCCAAAAGAAAAAAGAAAGTACAAGGTAGTTGTCTGGGGTGGAAATCAGAATGACAGTACCCATTGTTTCTAATAAATAATTACCTGAGGAAACTAAAAAGAATATATATATATATATATATATGTGTGTATATAAAAAATAATAATATTAATTAAAAACAAACAACAACAAAAACACACACACAGAAAAAAAAAAAAAGAAAAAAAAACATTAGCTAACCTGAAAGACAGAGAGTGGCAAAGAAGATCCCAGTTTTGTGGGTTGGCAGGGGCCATGGTGGGCCACCCACAAGGGTTCAGCTCCTTACGCTGTTAAACACTGCCTGGTTTCACCTGACATGATCTATAAGGCTGCTGTGTAGTCACACTTCAAGTGCCTTTCATGTGCACTTCAAATTCTTTTTCTTTAGAGATATTCTTTACTAACAGGATTTCTCACTTTGAAAAGGAGGACTCTTTCAGAAGATGACAGAGCCTCTCAAAAACACAGCAAAAATGAAAAAATGAAGGTAAAAACAAAACAATAGTTTGACACAGCTTTAAAAGGTGATGTTAAGTAGAAACAATTTTATTTTTACCTTTATCGAACAGTTTTATTACCTGACTTGATTTTTCACTTTAATATTGTTGAAATGCATTTTTTTTTCATGTATATATACTTACATAACAAATTGTGTGACAGAATAAATATGTTTGAAAGTGTCCTTGCATCATTATCACTTGCATTTTGAACTGCCCATGTGGGTTGTACACAAATCATATGGCTTGTTGCCAACGCATTCAGCTACAACACAAAATGTTTTCAAGTTCAAAGCTTGTATGATTGTTCACCTCATTCTTATGTTTTACCCTCATTTCTTTTATATCAGCAGAAGATGTTTCCCTTGCATCAATAAAATCCTTAATAACTTGCTCACTTTTAAAATGTGCAAGCCATAAACGAAAAAAAAAAAAAAAGGAAAAAAGAGACTGATACATAAAGATAAAAGACGCCAGCTTTGTGCAGCTGTTATATTCAGCTATTTTTAAACAGTCAGTGTATAAGGATCCAGAAAGTTCAATTAAGCCATCCATAGCATTGTTATTGCTCTGTTAGCAACTTTGCCTCCCACTCCAGAGCCCATCTGCAGACCCTGCTGCCAGAAGGGGTCCACAGGGCCCTGGGGCTTCAATGAGAAGTCTCCAGTTGCAAGACCACAGCCTTTGTGCTGGCAGACTAAGCATATATTTTTTAAAATATAGGTCAAGTTACCTGAGTATGCTCTACTTGCATATAGTATCAGTGGTCATCTTTCTTTTGTATGTTTCCTGGTATTAAATTATTCCCTTTCTTAGCAAAGCTTTTTAAAAATAAATAAATATATAAATAAAACATGATAGAGCTGCTTTTCCCTTCTCAACAGTCAGGATTTCTCTCTTGAGTGGTAATTGGGGAGGGGGATTACAAATCTAGCTTTGAATTCCTTGATTGCATTTTCCTGCTTGTTGCAAAGCTTTTTTTTTTTTTTTCTTTTCTTTATATATGCACAGTAACAACAAAGATTGGGAATAAATTCCACTTGGAAAATACTTTTTAGAAAGTGTCTATAAATAAGGCTTATGATTGAGTGAAATATAAGACCAGAAGACAAATATCTCTACGGGATCTAGAAATTCTCTGGGTTTTCTGATCCTTCTAATTTATTCAGCAGTATGCCCAGGACTTCACTGTGTGTCATAACCTATGGCATCTATGATGATTTACAAAGATTAAGGATTACATCTGTGTACTCTTGGTTCTCTTGTGTTGCACACCTTTTCCCTTTTTTATCCTTCTGCTCATTATTTCCAAGAAGTACCTACCTCACAGGCATTTGTACTCACAACAGATTGCTGGACCCATATGGTCTGAGAGATTGCATTAGGATACCTTATTCCTACTGAGTATATTGCATCTCACTTGAAATGGTGACATAGTGCAAATACAAATCAATAAGTACACAACAGTTTGTGTGACCCTCTAAGAAAAGGTTCCTGTGGTGACTTCAGGCATGCAGTCAATGAACAGGTGCTGCCACTGGACAAAGGAAGTTATGACTAGACTTCAGTACTCAACCCCTTCCAGATTCTTTGCTGAGTTCTTAAAACGCAAACAATACTATTAATTTAGAATAAATTATTTGTATCACAGAATGTGAGTTTTGTTTTTTTTTTCTTAGTAAAAAAATTAATTATAGATTTAATATAAGGAAATGGACATAAGAAATAATTTTCCATTGGGTGAAAGTCTACATTTCAGAACTGTCTTCAACCATTGTGTTTGTACTGCATTTGAAAATTTGCTTGCATTTAGCTCAATGTAAACGTCATATGTATTTAGGAAAAGAGATTCTTCTAGAGTTACTCCAAACATAAGGAAATGGTACAGATTATGTGTTGTAATAACGTTGCCTTTTTACTTTTAAGTGAAGTGGAATTCTTTGGAAAATGTTCTGTGAGGCACATGTTCAAATATTTCCATTTATGTATATTTTTAATGAATGTGTCAAGTTATGCATGGGCTCAAGTTATCATGCTGAATCAGACCCTATGAATATGTTGGAAACAGAAGGCTCCCTGAAATTTTGGAACTGACAATTTAAATTACACAGGAGAAGGAAAGGAAAAAAAGGTGAAAACAACTAAAACAGAGACTCTCCAGTAAGAGCTAGAAAAGGAAAGTTGATTGAAAGTTGAAAAGTAAGAGTGTATCTGAAAAGTGTAAGGTCTCTGAAAAAGAAGGCATTTGACAGAAGAAAAATAAAAGAAGTTGGTGGCAAAAGAAATGCAGGAATTAATGGGCCAAAGCTATGCATATCATGGGAGAGGCTTAAAAGAGCCTTCTTTCCTTCTTTCCTCCCTTCTTCCTCATCCAGATTTTTATGTATATATATCTGAAAAGAGATCTTGGTTCATGTAAGCAAAATAGACCTATGGCACTGATTTCAGCTGAAGCTTCTAGGCTCCGCTTGCCTGCCCAGGAAGAAGAAGGCACGGGTTCTACAGCCCAAATGTAGGTGGCTGGGGTGGCTTTTCCCACCAAAGGATACCTTCCTGGGCTCTAGTTGCCACTCCAGGAGAGCACTGGTCTCCTGCAAGTCCTGCCAGCTCCATGTGTGTGGCTCAAGTACCCTGGGACAACTCAGGGGCTTACAAGACTGTGACAAGGCAACTGAATTGCACTCTAAATTCACTCCTCATGTATTTATCTGGAATATTGGAGCAATTGACATCCATACAGTTTCAATGAATGGTCAAAAGCTTTATGTAACAAATAATCATGCATTTGTGCTCAAAAGTCACCAGCAGGAAAATGTACAGCTAAAATGTTATTTTTTTTACCATGGCTACATAGTAAAATTTTGCAGATCTACATACACTGGTCTATTCAGTATAATTTAATGCTTCTTCTGTGAATATTATACATTCTCCTTATGTCTGGTATCCCTGATTTCAACTTAAAGGAATTAAAGTATTTCAGAAGCAAAGAGTGTCTCTCACTACTAACCGTAAGAAGATATTCAGAGATGAGGACAATCACAGAAATTTTCAAGCTACCAGATTGTTTGGGTCAGTGTCAAATGTTAAACCAGGTTGTACAGACTGAAAGCTGTAAACCACACACTGGTGTGTTATTAAATTTCTGGAAAGTAATGAACTGGCACTGGAAGTGAAAAGGAAAAAAAAGCAGTAATGTGGAATGGCCCCTTATTCAGGAAACTTTGAAAATGTGCAGCCATAATAGCTGTGGTGAAGTTCCTTTAAATGAGACCTTGGTATGCTGTGGAATAAAGTCAAAATAGGAGATTGTGGCATTCCAAGTCATACTGAATAAATGCATACATTGGGCCAAACTGTGGTCTTATTCACAAGGGAACATTTTTTTTTCCCTTTTCAATTAAAAAAAAAAAAAAGGAAAAAAAAAAAGCCGAGAACACTTTAAGATACAGGGCACAAATGTGTAATTATTCTTGGCTAACATGGTAGCTGTTGATCATTTAATGAAACCATAATTATCATATAATGGCAGGGTATTTATATGACAGATTACTACATTATTACAGGGTAAGTGCATGATTATTTCTGTCCTCAAAATCAGAATAAAAAACACATGGAAGTGGAAAAATAAGTTGAAAAAAAGAGGGGGGAAAAATCTGAATTTCCCAATGCTACTCTGATATTGTTACTCCATCCCCTTCTCAATCATATAGTGATGGCAATGGCCGCTGGTGTTCATGATGAAGCCAAATCTCTGCAGGGAATCCATGCCACAGTAAAGCAGATCATAAGGCTCTTTGCCAAATGGCTACAGCTTTAGGCTTCATTGTACTTATAGTTAAACTGATTCAATAGCAATTTGGTCACTGGTCTCTTGTCCTCAAAAGACACTGTACTCCTGTTTGGTTATGAGAAATAGTACAAATGATGGAGGTAAAAATCTGCACTGAGAGGGTGAGAACTCCCATCTATGTCTTTAATAGAGAATAGTGATAGCTAATAAAGATTTCAGAGCAAGTTTTAATTGGGTGGAGATGTTGAATTCAACAAGACTACCTATGGGCTGAGTAGTGTTTAGTATTGTTTAATTTCAGCTAACACTGCTGTGTTAAAGATTGATCTCAAGTGTGAGAAAATACTTAAATGATTCCTTGTATGGGCAAAAATACAGGGACAAGTCATGAATTTATAAAGTTACACAGAGAGTTTCATATACCAAATGAAATCCATCTCAAGCTTTACAAAGAGGAGGACACCTTTCTGTGTAGGAAGCAAGATCACATTGCAAATCCAGCTGATTCTCATTACCCACATTCTATAAAGAAGTTAAAAGTTCTATGCAATCATCTGCTCCACCTGAAATTTGCCTCTATATCTTCACAATGCCATTCCAGCTGTGAAAGTAATGTTAGTAGTCCCTGTTTCTAAAAAGCAATTGTGGAGCCAGTCTTGTAAGCTACAAGTTTTTGTAAGTATATGAGTTTATCTCTGAATATGAGCTTCTGAATTTGGTGGGTTTTTTTTTGGCCTTGGCTTTCCTAGACTTTCATCCAAGAAGCAGTATTATTGCAGCTGTTGTCATTTTTTAGTGATTTATCTCTATTTTTCTTCTTGAATTTCTTCGCAGTGGTGAGGAAACTAACTCAGGTGAAAGCCACAAACCCTGAGTCTTGTTTGTTCAGGGTTCATCCTATATGTCTGTATACATTTGTAAGAGAAATATAGGTTGGAGGAGAAATGAATTTGAGGCAGTAAAGAATCAGTCTGTGTACACTCACTTAGAAGGCAGCTGTAATTGCACTACCTTTGTAAATAGCTCCCTTAATAAACTGATTATTACTCTGAATGGTCAATGATTGCTCATAATTCACTGCTGCTAGGTTATTTCTCTTTACAGAGGGGGGAAAAAAAATAAAAGCTCTGGTCCTTGAGAGAGCTGTGCACCCATGATTCTGGTGGGAATTGTGTTATGTTGGAGTTTGACACAGCTCTCCATGTAGTCAAATAGAGCCCCAGTATGCTCCTACAGGCAGGGTTCTCATTCACAAAGGGCAGAAGTCGTTGCTCCGTTTCATTGACATTGACATAAAATTCCACGTGGTGTCTTCTGTGAACTCTCGTACATCCACCCCACCCCCCATATTTACTATAGATGAAAATTAATGAATGGAAGTTTTATGTGCCATTAAATGTGAAGAGAACCCTCTGCTTTGGTGTCTTTTTTTTATTTTTATTTTTCCTTGCAGGCTTCTTTTTTTTGGTACTACATATCTGCCTCACTGCATTTTGTTCTAATGTATTTTCTAAATATCATTAAAGTACTTCCCATGGACAATGTAAAGGTTAAAATCCATGCTATGAAGCTGTAAATTAAGGATATTGAAGTATTAATGTTTTTTGGTTCCTTCATATGTTCTTTCATAAAGCTTATTCTTGTGAAGGTAAATGTGGCTAGACTCTGAGTTATTTTAATGTTTTGTAAATATTGTGTACTCAAAATCTTATCTTTACAACATTCTTATTCTTGTGAAAATAAACAAAAACTAAGGCATTCAGCACCACAGTAAAAGTAATCATATTCTTTAAGGCATAGAGTTGTTTGGACTACTAGTATTTCCATTAGGGAAGCAATTTCTTTGTCTTACTTTTTTTTTTGTTTATTTGTTTTAAACATGTCTTGGTTATTCATCAGGTTATCAGAAAACCTTTTCTCTCTCCCTTCACCATCTTCCCTCATGTGCTCATTTAAAAATAATTAATAAAAAAAAAAATAAAATAAAACAACCTTTAAGTAATTATCACAGAATCACAGAATTTCTAGGTTGGAAGAGACCTCAAGATCATCAAGTCCAACCTCTAACCTAACACTAACAGTCTCCACTAAACCATATCCCTAAGCTCTACATCTAAATGTCTTTTGAACCATTATAATGTAGGTATCAAGGACTCCATCTTTCTGCCATGGTAAAAATTTCACTGATTTCAGCCAAACAGGGTAGGACTTGAAGGAAGTCTCATGAGGAGAGGCTTTGAAATCAAGTCCAAAATAGTTTTTGATTACTTCTTAGAAATGTATTTTGGTTTATTTTCCTAGTGACCCACAGTTATTGTTATCTTTATTTTTCCTCTTTTATCCATTTCTTAGCAAAAGTTATATATTCATAATTTTATTTTCATATTCTCCTGGCAATTATGATTTAGAGACTCAGGAAACTTTCTCCCAAGCTCAAATAAGTCAACTGCCAGAGTTTCAAATTCTGGCAATCCAACTTCTCCAAGGTCTCGTAAAAATTCTGGGCTGTTATCTCTGTATGCCTGATAGATTTTTTTTTTTTTTTTTAATCATAATTAAAACAGTCTGTCCTTTCTCTCTGACTTTAGGAGAATGGCAATGAGTCACAAGAGCTCTGGAAAAGCTAGAAGAAGAGAGACTAAAGTTATCAACCCTGAAGCACTGAATCATCTATATTTCATCTACAGAAACATAGATGCAAAGCACTACCACCTGCTTCTTAATTCAGTTGTCTTCAGAGCAAGTCCACCAAGGCAGAATGTAACATCACAGTTAACATCAGGAGACAGAGGTAGTCTGGGGTTTGGATGGAACCATAAAAAGATGAAAAAGTCATTCAGTTGGTAGGGAACATTATTATCTTTATGACAATTCTTACTCTCTTGTGTAATATATTAGACCTTCCCAGTAACATGTTTTCAGTAATATCTAGGTTAAAATACACACACACAAATATATGTACATACATATACACGCACAGTCTTTATAAATTCTATTTTTGTATATATTCTTTAAATACAAGAATACACGAAAAGTGGAATGATGAATGCAAAAGTCACAAAAATGACACTGAAAACTGTGTTGTTTTAGGGAGAAATACTTAGCCTTCAAAATAGCAGTTTGAAAACTAATTCACTATGATGTTTTATTCTGTAGTATTTGTGACTCTGCTTTTATTTCTTAAGCCCTCATGGTCATTCTACAAATTTAATTGATTTCCTGACACTTTTGAACAATCTTTAAATAGCAAGACAGACTTTCCTTACATTCAAGGCTGTGTGGGTTACTTCCCAGCTCCTTGAGCCTCAGTCTTCTCCCTTTAAAAACAAGAACGAGTTTTGGCAAAAAACTGATCAGATGTTAGAAGAGGAGATGCTGGAAGATCTAAACTTAATGACAACCTTAATAGGCTAATGGAATTCCTGAGGATCTTCTTCACTGGTAATCTGATGCTTAGGGAAGCAAAAATGAATGTTTGATATGTTCCTTGGAAGTTCAGTTCCTCCCTGATGAGTCAAGTAGCTTTTTAAAACTAAACAAATGTGCCTCAGCTCCATCATTATAAGACTCAATATTATCACCAGGTTTTGCTCCTGAATAATGGGGAGAAGTTGAATGCCATGTGAGAATGACAGCATTCATCTGAGGCATCGATATGCTGGCTGCCTCCTGAAACGTGACCTTGGCAGTCATGGGAGTTCGGAAAACCCAGTAACTCTAAAGATTTGGATTTTGGGTAGTATTGCTTCTTATTTTCAAAAAGAGTTGGGTATTTAAAACTCTTTGATCTGGATCTAAACTCTGCACAGTGTCATATTTTTAAGTAGAATAAAGTTTGCTTTGGGAGACTGGATTTCTATCGAAGTTTGCAGTGCTGCACTAATAAAGCAGAACATACCTACAATGAAACAAATACTCCAAAAAGAACAAATGCATTTCTGGTATCATTCTTTTGAAATCAACATAGGAGATGAAATTAGAAGCAACATTGTTAGGGCAAATGTTCTATTTTTAATAAATATTTTGCAGAATATAGTAATCTTAAAAGATTCTCTTATCAAATTTGTTTTGATTTCATGAAAACATACAACTATTATAATAAGCAGGCTTATCAGTTCAATTTTCTTTTTTTTTTTTTATGTAGTTTTCTTTATTTTCTTTTTAGTTTCCTGCTTTATCATTCAGAAGGTTTGCACTGTATTCCTGTACATATTTGGTTTGGTGCCCAGAAATGTATTATTTTAACAGGGTTAGTTCATTAAAAGTTATTACTTTACAGGGGTTCTATCATGCATACATAAGTATATGAATGCCCTTCTACAGTGAACATTGTGGTACAGCTAACATTAAAAATCTTGCTCTTTCAGGTTCATCATCTCTGCCATTTCAAGTCAAATTGACTAATCCAGCACCTACCTTCAATTTAAAAAACAAAAACAAAAAATGTTAAACTGACAAAACATAGTTCTCATTCTTTCTTCAATAATAGTAGAAGATTCTTCTAGCCCTTCAGAAATGAAACTATTGGGACTGTGAATTGTCCTTCCTCTGTGCATAGATATTAATATGCAGAATTGTCTCAGTCAAAGCCAGTAACCTATTTTTAAGAGACCTGCACAAGGAATGACTGCAATGCTCTATCAATATCCATTTTGATTACAATATTTTTGGTAACTCTATGTTGTTCTATCAAAAGTAGCTTTCTTTATTATTATTATTTAAAGAATATCTCCAGCTATGCAATATATTGTTGTTTTAAGGTTTTGATAAAGTTTTGAATGACCAGTTTTATATTGATGAGAACCTAGGTGAATTTGCAAGATAAATTAGTGTTTAAAAACAACAACAAAAAAAGTCATTTCCTTGAAACTGTTTCTATTAAGCTGCATCACAAGTCTATATAAGGGTAAAAATAGAAAATCTGTACAACCTTTACTGAGAGTTGGCATTAAAAGACTGAGTATCAGTGTAAATGTTATAACAGGGCATTGTGCTAATGTAGTTAGCCAAGAACCAACATTTTCAAGCTAACTGGAAGAATATGTTATATGCTAGTGTGATTTATGCTTATTTTACATGTGATTTGTGCTATTATGCTTAAAGGAGATGGGGCATATAAATGTTTTACTTCTTTTTCATCATTGCCCACCTGGAGTTTTGGAGGATAAGCTTGATACTATTTAAATGAATCTATGTCATCTGACTAGGATTTTTAAGTCCTTTGTTGGCTGGGTTTCACATGTTTTCTTTATCTTTTCTTACCCTATACATCAACTAACTTGGGTTATATTCTTTATCCTGGTGCTGATGGGATATTACCTGTAATTTCACTCCAGTGGTTCCATGATTACAGAATTCTTTGAGATGCAAAGACAGTTATGGGTGTAAAGAACTATGCATTCAATGAAACTTGGAATTGAAGAATTGCTGCATTTATGCTTTAAAACTTATGAATGGGAAACAGTCCCAGAACACAGAAAGCATTTTAGATATGTTGGAAGAAAAAAAAAAAGCACATCAATTATACAACCTGTAATCAGTATGAACAGTTTATATACTCAGTGTATCTAATTCATGTTTGTGTAAAGTATTTGTCCATTGGCATTGTTTTCTACTGTAATGTAGTAATACTATTAAGTATTTGGGGAATTACAGCATCTATGAAATGGTAAAGGAAAGAATTCACTCTGAACTCGCACAAAGTGGAGGATCTAGTTGTGTGGCAGCTGTTTCGTGTGAATTTTTATAGGTTTGAGAAGTTAAGTGTTTAAATTCAAATAAGAAATATGAAGATTATTTCTCATAAGTAACTTAACTTAGTCTCCCTTAGTCAAATGTTGTGAGCCTTACAAATGTCTGTGTTTCGCTACAATGAAGGTATTCTTGTTCACATGGCAGAAGACTACTCTTTCAACTTGAAAGGCAGAGAATGATTGGCTGTGTGGAGTAGGCTGTTTGTCCCCCGTCCCCAATAGCTACTGTTTGCATGTGACATTGGACTCATTCAGTATGATTCTGATGCCTCTCAAGCAAGTGAAATCTTGAGATTCAATGAGTATGAGAAGTGTTATTTTGCTTAACGTTTCTCTCTTGAAAGCATACTGTAGTATTATGTGATGTGTAATGTTAGATGGTATTGTATGCTCAACTTAAAAACCTAATGGCAGCATCTGTTTACAGTCACTCCACTATGATAGTATCTGTGATACTACTGAGTTCTGCATGATATATAAAACACTACTGTGTTTTTCGTGCATATTGCATAGAAGTGATGATGCACAAATACTTAATAAAGTCTTTCTTCTCAAATCAAGGCTGTATTGAATGTAAAAGCATCATGAGGCTAACTTTCTGTGGCCAGTTCCCTTTGACTTCACTGGCTTGCTACCAAAGACAAATCTCCAAAACTTCAGTGACACCTGACCTGCATCTTATAACATTGGCCCATTGATTTCAATGAAACACTATTAAAAACAAATAAATAATAAATCTCAACTTATTTCAGTACTCACTTTTAACACCATTAGACCGTTGATTTTCTCCCTATTATAGTGTCAAGACTCAAATATTCAAACACTTCATAAAGACAAAAACAAACCTCAACATACTTGCAGTTGGTGTTTGGTGGTTTTTTTTTTCTTTTTTTTTTTCCTAGTACCCTTTAAAAACTTGTGTGTATGTTTATACATGTTTTGGAGGACAGCATGAAAACTACTAATGATGTTTTAAAAAACAAATGGATTAGCAGACCTTTTTCTCCATGAAAAGTCTGATATGATTCTTTTGTTGCTTTTCTGTGATGTTTTGTTCTTGTGTACTTTCTTGATTTTTATTTTTTTCTTCACCTTGAGGAAACTAACAAATTTTTCCAAGAAATTTAACTTACAATGAAGATAGTTGGGGAAGTCAATTATTTTTGCTTGCTGTCTTGAAATGGACTACAAGTCCGTTATTACTCAAATTCATGGTTGAATAGTGTGTTGCACATCTAGCCACTACTGTGCTATAATGCTCTTCTTATTCTTTGTTTCTCAGAAGAAAAGTATAATATGAACACTTTTTCTTCCATCCAGATCTAAGGTTTGATATCTGTTCAAAACATAACATGTGCCCTCTGTTTGTGTATTGCAGTGTTCTTTGTTTGAGCTCTTCAGTCTGTCATTCATTTAGATATTTGTAGCCACTGATTTAACTTGAAATCTATCCCTCTACATGCAAGACAATTTTGCCATTTTCCTTCAGAAGCCAGACAATTTATAGATGAGCTCAGACCAAATAAATCAGGGAAGATATATTTATAGGTTTAATATACCATATATATTAATATATATTTTTAATCACCATCATACTGTCACCCTGTAGAAATAATTAGCAGATGTGTATGCCATGCTTGAAGCTATCTGAACAGATACTGTTGCTGCTATTCAGGCTAGGATGCTTCAGATCAGCCAGTGTTTATAGTAGTCACTACATACTCCTTGTGTCTGTTAGTGATGAGGTGAACCTTCTCCATTTGCCTGCACTAATTCACTGGAATGACTGTGTAACTATAATTATCTTCAGACTGAGTAATTTCTTCACAAGAGAACATTTACAGTAATTCTGAACAAAGAAATATAGATGCACACTTGCATTAACTTTAGTGCTTGGTGAAAGAAAAAGGCATCGACTCTTTTCTACAGCTTCTCTTCTCCTAGCATAAAGCCTCTGGAAACCTTCACACTTGTGTGCATTTTTTTTTTTTTGTTTTCATTTATTTTCTTTGCTTTTTTGTTGTTGATGTTGTTTGTTCTGTGGCAGTGTATTCTATCTCAAACAATGGTCTCTGTATTGGGTTAATTTATGTTACTTTCTCTTCACTTGTAAACTCTAGTGGTTTGACTCCCAAAAATACTGATCCTCACACAATTCTACATGAATTCTACCAGGAGAGGCAGGTGTTGAATTCTAATCTGTCTACAATTTTGATGGTGAGTATTCAACTCTGGACATTTTTTGAAAGGTTAGCAATAATCTTTGTCTTCCTGTAGCATCATAACTGAACCTCAATGCAAAACATTAGCACCGGTTTCCAAAACTCTTTTATTTATTTATTTAAAGATCACGGAATAATGTGTGAGATAAAATAATACCAAAATGCAGTTCGTATCTGAAGAAATGTTGTTTGGTAAAGGTACACTTCATTTAGATGTTTTTGCCTGGTGTGCTTTATTAGTACTATTATTCAAAATGTTTTATTTCCCAGAAAACCCTAGTAAGGGATATAATTTCTGTTTTCAAAGACCATCCTAACGGTGAAGACAGGCAGCAGCTATTTTAAACTCTAGAATTTAATTCCAGCCATGTGTATTCGACTAGCACCATATGAAACTATGCACACAGTTTATTACAGATACTAGGACTTATAAGTGAAAGGAAAACAATTTGCCATGTCAAACATAATGTGTTATTTACAATAACACATTTTCTGTACGTTTAGATGTAGAGCTTAGTGATATGGTTTAGTGGAGGACTTGTTAGTGTTAGGGCAGAGGTTGAACTCGATGATCTTGAGGTCTCTTCCAACCTAGAAATTCTGTGATTCTAATAGGTTTGAAGATCTTAGACATTAGAAAGTTAAATAATTTTAGATTATTCCCACCTCTGGACTCCCCCACACTTAAAAAGCAAAAAAAAAAAAAAAAAAAAAAAAAAGGAAAAAAAGGAATGCTAGAAGAAATAGTAGGAACCCATAACAAGAGAATTCTGAAAGCTAAAAATTTTACTTCTGTTTAAGCTGAATATTTTCTCTTTCTATCTTCAGATAGACAAACTTTGAAGTGTATGTATTAATGTGTATTAATGTATACCATGAAAAGTGTAGGATATACAACGAATTCAAGAAAAAAAATTAACCTTGTTTTTTTCTACTTCAGGTGTTTGATACATTCAGCTTTAGTCATTTTATTAGTTCAAGATTATTTTGCATATAGTCTTCCTTATTATGCAGATCTTCACCCCTTGTATTTCTCCATAAGCTCAAAACAGTTGAGTAAAACTCACTGGAATCAAAAGTTCAGCTTCAGAAAAAGTAATTGATTACAGTTTATTGTAGATAAATGGAGTTGTACTTTGACATACAGTGAAAGACCAGATATAGAAAATAAGTTATTGAATTGATACCAGAAAATACTGGTTAACAACATTTTACTGTTGTTAACAGTTTAACTATGTACATTGTTAACAATGTAAACAATGTTTAACATTGTTAACGTTTAACTGTTAACAACATTTTTCAAGGCAAAATGAACTGTTTTTCATTAATTCAATTACTGAATTTGAGAACTTGAAGAAATACTGCTATCTGGTCTGGCTATTCCTCCTTCTCGCCCCTCCCCCCCCCCCCCCCCCCCGGGTTTCTGAATTATCTGTACCTTTATGATAGTTCTTACTTGCATATGGTTTAATTATTTTAGGGAGAAATATTGATTTTTAGTCCAGTTAAATGAAGTATTTTTACTGTTATTAGTAATGATGAAACTTCCCATGATACTACATGCTTTGAAACAAAACCATTTTTCCAGAAAATCGTTGCAGAAATTGAAAAGTTGCAGCTAAAACTCTTTCATTGTGCAGATATTGTTGCTATTTTTATAACATCTACTTGTATGAACTCTGATACTTCTTGTTCCAAACTGAAAAGGCAAAATCAAATGAAATAAACTTGAAAACCTGTAGGAGGTTTTCCCTGGAATAAAAGACCCATGTCAGAAGAAATAATAATTTGGCTGAAGGGGTTCTCTTGCTTTTTCTTCTGAATAAGGTCCACTGCTATAGAGACAAGAAAGGTGATGCCCTTAGCAAGTGCTAACTTTCACTTACCAATGCCATCAAGAGGCTAGTAAATGAGTCAACTTTTTTTTTTTTTTTTTAAGGTAAAGCAAATACAGACATTACTGGATATTGAATAAAGACAAATGAGTAACAGTCTTATGATAAAAACAAGAAATGTACAATAAAGACTATTCAGTGGATTTTTAACTAAGAAGTTATGATTTTCTTAAGTATATTCATATCTACCCATGTTATACGCACTATAGCTAAAGATATATTGCTTTAAAAGAGTAGCCAGAGAATAATGGTTAAATTTCATAACATTTTAAAAAAGATTATACTGATGAGTAGGCAACTTCCTTCAGAGTCCAGAAGTTCTTCATCCCCTATGTTGTTAACAGTGAAAAATATCTAACAGTGCAAAGTGAAAAATGCAAGGGAAAAATGTTAAGTAGCTTTTAGGGGGATAATTCTGGTGAATACAATAAAGACGTCAATTTTATTCAAACAGAAATTATTGTCCAAACCACTTTCTGATAAGTAAAAGTATACCTTTAAGTTGTGAAAACAGTTATTACCAAATCAAAAATAATACCAAGCAAAACACAAAAGAAACGAATGCCTAAAATTCATCATATTTTGAATTTGGCAGAATTTATGACCAGTCTCTGAGCTACCCTACCTGTCAAAATGGGCTAAAATTATCTCTGATCACTGTCCTTTTTTGTTGAAATGAAAACCCCAAGTCTGAAGAGTGAAAAGCAGGGGTACTTGGTTAAGAGCTTTGTTCTGTTCTTCTCAGTGGTTGCAATTGTATGTATAGCAATGACTGAAGTGCAAATACTGTGGGTGAAGGTGTAACTTTGAAGGGAATAAAGCTCCCTCTCTAAGGTTTCTAATAGACCATGCATAACTGCTACAGAAAGGCTTGCTTGCTTGCTTTTAACCCAAGAGAAGTCTGAAATGGAAAGAATGAGATTTGAGATGTTTAAACTTTGAAGGTCTCCTGAGAATATGCTCAATACTTGAATTTCTTGATTAAGAAAAGAAGGTAGGAAGGAATTTGGACAATCAGTCAGCTTAACAGTTGGAACTGAAACTGCAAATAGTAACTACAAATAAGAATGGTACCATCTTAGAGATTCCTATACCTAGACAAGGGTATATTTTCAGAGGCTAGTCTGCAATCAGGCCTCTGACACATATTTTCTTAGAAATGTTGATTCTTTTTGAAATAATGAACAAACACTAAGATCACTGATCAAAGTATTTATTTTTGACTCTCATTTATACTTAATGTTTCAGAAACTGCTTGGAGAGTCCCAGATTTGTGTGGCTGCCCACCCGGGACCATGCTATGCAGAAACACTGTTGTATTAGGTGAATGAAGAAAGGTTACTATGAAACAGAAAACTTTGGAGAAGCTTGGCTTTAAGGATATAGCACAGCTTTAAACTGTGCTGGATAGTGCTCTGCTGCTAAAGGAACCATGCTTATTATGGTGTTAATTTTAGTGCTGGCTGAGACTTCCAGCCTGGAAAGTAAGGAAGGAAATGGGTACGCATGGTCTTGTGAATTCTTGTTTCGTGTTCACTGCTGAATGAATCAGCAAAGTGCTGTTAGTAGCTAAAGGAGAAGAGGCTACCCTGTACTATATCAGGCTTGTCTGAAAGCGCTCTGAGAGAAAGCTTTTTTTCTTTTTCTCTATGTGTAATTGACCAGGATTTGTTCATCAAAAAGGAATTAAGAGAAATAGAATGTTTGACTTCTGCTCCATCTGAATTAGAAGCAGAACATCTAGAGAAGGTTGTCCAGGAGTCAAAAACCTTAAGCTGCACCTTCTCACTATATTTCCAGGAAACACCAATAGCTGCTTCTGAAAATTATCTTGGTTTAGGAACAATGACATGAACTGGAAAGAAAGATAAAAGGGAATTTGAGTTGACTATTCCTGCGTCCTTTATAAATTTCATTTATTTTATGGACAAGCAGGACTAAAAGGAATTACTGGATCGAAACTCTGAATGTGGTTAGGGCATAGGGTAAGATGCTGGTGTTTTTCAGAAGCCATGTAGATTAAGGGGGAAAAAAAAAAGAAAATATCTCCATGATTTATTTTTAACTTCCTTGAATTAAGCTTCTTATCAGACTGTGTGGAATAAATCAGGTTTTTGTGAAGGTGGAAGCAGCACAATTTAGCTGTGGTCTCCATGAGAGACCTCTATGAGGGCTAGAGCACCTCTATGAAGACAAGTTGAGGGAATTGGGGTTGTTCAGCCTGGAGAAGAAAAGGCTCCAGGGAGACCATACAGTGACCTTCCAGTACTTTAAAGGTGGGAGAGACACTTTGTCAGGGAGTGGAATGGTGGAACGGGGGGGGGGGAATGGCTTTAAACTAAAAGGGTGTAGGTTTGGATTAGATGTTAGGAGGAAACTATTTCCTATGAGGGTGGTGAGGCACTGGAGCAGGTTGCTCAGAAGCAGTGGATGCCCCATCCCTGGAGGTGTTCAAGTCCAGGCTGGATGGGGCCTTGAGCAACCTGCTCTGGTGGGAGGAGTCTCTGCCCATGGAAGGGGGGTAGGAACAGGATAATTTTTAAGGTCCCTTCCAGCCCAAACCGTTCTATGATTATGTGGTAAGCCAAAAGTACTCTTTTGGTTTCACATCGAGTGGGAATTAGGATAGTTGATGATGAGGTGGGGGGTATATACTTCTTCATCAAACAGTTCTTGTGGTTAAAGCAGAGCCTGGGTAGGTACATAAGTGTGTACACAAAGTCTTAGACCGTGTATCAGTCCTCCACTGTGGACTCACCATCCTTGTAAGGCTCTCAGCTGCCAGTACCGATGAGTGAGATCCTAAGATTAGCCTCAAACCTTAGCTGTATTTTCCCAGTGGCAGTGCAGTGTGCTAATCGCTGAGCCATTGGGATAGCCCTGTAGGGCATTCTTCTAATAGTTTTTCTAGTTCTTCCACTGATGTCCTTATACATCTTTTATGATTTCGATAGTGATGCTACTTTCCCCAGGCACTTTCCTTCTATCTTACTCTCCACTTGCTTTTCTTTTGAATATAGGGGGGAGGGGGCTACCTTAATCTTGCCCTTCACTCACAGTGCAACCTTTCAGAAAAGACATTTCCCTCATCTGCTTTTCCAACCCTGAGTACATGTCAAGGAATTCTAAAGATGGAAAATATTTGAGCACTTCCTATTTAAGTTTAGATAGTCTTTTTCCTGCCTTCATGTTCTATTTAGAGTTTTTTTCTTATAAATGGATGCACAGCCAGTTCTTTTTGATTTAAAATTAAACTCCAAATATTTTCTTCAAATTGCACTCATTGCTTTTACAAAGGAATGAAAACAAAATGCTGCATGTGACATCATTTGAGGGAGAAAATTGTGTTATACTGTTCTAGGAAGAAACTATTTTTTTTAACTGCATCTCTTTTCTAATAAATTTCTGATAAATAGTAAAAAGAAATTCTTTCCTAACTATATATTTCTCTTGCATTATACATATATAAATTTCTTTGGGAATAACTTAAGCAATATAACTGAGATATGAGGTAGCTGATATATGTGAGGTATTAATATGAAAAATATTTTCACTACATGTATGTTATAAAACTATTGGAATATTAGAGGCCAAAAACGTATAGGTCAGTTATAGTTTCCTCATCCATGCTCTGCCTACATATATACGTGTGTGTGTATACATTTTATATATATATTTATTTTCCCCCTGTGGGTCCATCCTCCTTTGTTTTCTTCTCCTCTGTTATTTTCACTTCTCATCTTTGATTCACTATTATGCAAGGTCCTTTTGAGGAGCTTCTTTTGCTTCCCACTAAAGATACGTATTGGTAGCAGCAACTGAAGCAACAGTCAGTGGACACTTGTAGAGATGGCACGTTGTAAAATAATAAATCGAATATTTAATACTTAGACAGAAGATGTGGACTTTATCTACACTTAATGGGTGGGGAGGCTGATTACTCATTCATAGCTACGCCACTTGTGAATGATGAGGTCACCCCTATCTCAGGAAGATAAATGCCATATCCTGTTATGACATATTCCTTTTATATAAAATTAGTTCAATTTTCTCACTACTGAGGAATCGGTATAGCTGAAAAAAAAAAGTCACTTCAAGATAAAGGCATTTTTCTACTGTAATTCATTATATATCCTATTTTCATTTTATTTTATTTCTGTTCTGTTTTGTTCTATCTTATCCTGTTCTACGTATAGTATTTTACTCTCTACCTAAATGATATCTGACTAAAGTGAAGCAAAAATTAGATGATACAATGAAGCTTTGTAGCATTCTCTCTCATACCTGTCACAGGCTCCTTCCAACAGCAGATAATGAAAATTCAAAGTCAAACCATTTAAGTAAATGGAAATGAATTTCCAGAGAAGAGAGATTTTTTCACCTGTGAAAAAAAAGAACAGTAGTACACTGACAATGCGAATAAAGATATAATACATAATTGTGATAGATAGGTATATGTAAAGCATAAATATTAAATGTTGTTATATTACAGTCATGTGTTTTTAATTTTTATCTTTACTATGCTTTCACCTAAGAGAGGAAAATCTGGAGCATGTTGTATGAAATAGCAGTACTGTATCAGAACCTTTCTTCGCTCAATCAATACTAAAGTAACTTGCAGAATATCTTACAAGAGTGTATGGTATTTAAACAAAAAGTATGTCTTTCAGACACCAGTACATGTCAATAATCTGAGCAAGATGAGAAATAAATTCATTAAAAAATATAGGGCTTGATTCTCATCTCGTTCACACTAGTACACTGCAGTGAATTCATTTTACAACATAGCATTGTGGTATGTTGTAGCACTGGTGATATGTGTAACGAATTGGGCCAAAGCAATTTAATATGGCACAGAGAATAAGCTGTGTTTTGCTATCATGATTAATTTGGAGGAGGGAGATATGAGCAATCAAAATGGACTTTTCTTCAGATATGAAATATGTTTTATTTGGTATCTTTTTCAGGGCTATAAGAAAGAAGGAGCTTATGCATTCTACAGCCATTTACTAACCTACCTTTTGAATCCTGCTTGTCTTACAGCATACAAAACTATTTGTCAGTAGTTCCACTGACTCAATGGGGCTACTTGTTGTTACAAAGACTGTCTTTTCAGTTACGTTAACACTTAAGATACTAATCAATAGTCATAAAATATCTTAAATAGCAAGAGAGTCTGATTTTGCTCACATGGATGAAAACTTATGACTTCTGGGACAAAGCTGAATCGAGTTTGGCTAAAATCAGGCTCTCTGTCCAGGCTGTCCCTTTGGTACATGAAAATGCAGAGTTGCCAATGTAGAGAAGAGAGTGACAGTCAATGGATGGGGACTTCGCCATGATTACATCCACTGTACTGCCTGGCCATACATTGACAGACAAAACTACTGTAATGGACTGATCATTTGGAAAATGGCTACTGCCCACATTTAAATTCCTTTCAGTGTTATTCCATAGCCAATTAGAGTGGTAGCCCAGCCTATATTCATGCCAGTCTTGTACTATATTGTAAGAAAAAGGAAAGGAGCAGCTCAGAAGTCTTTAATTATTCCTCCAGCCATTTATTGACCTGCTCTCTAAAGGCCATACATGGGCCGTCATCTGCATGCAAAATTTCTATTGACATCACTGGGAGGGCCACAGGCAGATGGAAGGTACTTTGTAAACCTTACAGTTTAAATATGTTGTAAGAGAAAAGCACAGAATTGGAGGTTATTTAAAAAAAAAAAAAAAAAAAGGCAGCTTTATCTAATATTGTTCTTTAAACATGGAATTTGCATAACGTTTTTTCCTAGCAAGCAACATCCCCCCTTCTCTTCAAGCTACCTAACCTACACGTTTCTGTAAAGTCTTCATATTTAACACTCAAACAATTGATGTCCCTATAGTATAAACAGGATAGATAATGAATATAAGTGGGATAGAAAATTAATCCTACTTGCAAGGAAAGAGAGTCATAATTCACTTAGGCTTCTCAGCTCTTACGTTATGAGGTCTTCAGCTAACTCATGGGATCCATTCCACATCCCACAGATGCTCATTATGAATTCTTTTTATGTGCAACATGTGGGGACTAACCAGTTTCATATCTCCTGGTATTAGCTGCAATCCAAAGCATTTTGTATTAAAACAGAATGCAAACACAGATGCTATTTAATACAAAGGATTTGAATGCAGTCTCTGTTTTAACATAAAGTTGGTGTGTCTTAATTTGGTTTGGAACAGGAACGGAAAGAAAAGTCAAGATAAGGGGATCTCGTCAGATTAGGAGCCAAGCTGTGATTGCAAGTGGCACACGCTTGCACGGGAAAAGGGGTGACGACCAGGTGACAGGTTCGATTTACCGAAGCAAAGGTTGTAACGCCTTCGGGGCGGTGGGGCAGCCTGGGACGTGCTTTCCCCACCCCGGAGATGCTGCTGCAGCCGCCCGGGCACTACGCAGGCTCTGCCTCCTGTCCCACGCGGCTCCTGCGGGAGCCGCGGCTTCCCCGAAAGGCAGGCGGCGGCGCGGCTGCTGCCCGTGCAAGGTGCACCGGCTGCCGGCTCCCCCGGGCCCCTCGCCCCGCTGGCTGGGAGTCCGCTTCTCCCCCCGCTCCCACCCCGGCCAAGCTTTTAGCTCCGAGTCCGGCCCTCGGGAGCTCCGGGAGGTTCGGTGGGACCCTCCCACGGGAGGGGGTCCCCGTGTTCGCCCCCCCCTCTCTGCTGCCCCCCTTCCCCCGGGAAGGGGTCCTCGCCCCTGGCGGCGGGACGGGGCACGGAGCGCGGCCGCGGGTGGTGCCTTGAAGTGTGTGTGTGTGGGGGGAGCGAGTGCTCGGAGGAGGGGGAGAGGAGAAAAGGGGGGGGACAACGTTGGGGGGACGGACACAAACGCGGCCGGGCGCGATGCGGGGGGGCTGCGGGCAGCCCCCGGCGGTACAAAGGAGCGGGGGCGGCTGGGGACGAGCCGGCGGGCTCGGCGCTGTGAGCACGGGGCGTGAGAGGGGGTCGGGGGGGGGTGTCGGGGGCGGATCTGCCGCGGGGTTTTGCGCAGCCCCCGGCGGTGTAATTGCTGTGTCGGAGCGGCAGCAGGGCTCGGCGCGGGCACGCACAGCGCACACCTTACAAGTTTGACTAGCAATAACATTGCTGCACACTAGGAGGGGAGGAGAGTCAGCTCCCTATAATAGGGCACAAACTCTGCCATTGCACAAAAGCGGCGCGTTTCCTCGCTGGTGAAAACCGTCCCTTCATAGAAAGAAAAGAAAGAAAGAAAGGAAGGGGGGGGCTGGGAGCGGGGGGAGCAAAAGCAAGTTACCAAGAGCAAGAACTTGTGCTGCAACAATCCTCCGCTCTTCCTCCTCTCCTCAGGACTCTGGGAGCAGGGATATTCCTCCCCCTCCCCCCCGCGCAGTTGGCGCTAGCCCAGACTGTGGTCAGTCGCCTTTATTATTACTTCATTGAGACAGAGAAATCCTCTAAGACTCGCATTTTGGGTGGAGGGTGGGGGGTGGAGGGACGGGAAGGAGGAGGGAAAAAAGGCAACATTTGCTGCTCATCATTTTCACTGCACCGCTAAAGTAATTGCGCCCCCCTCTCTCCTCCCCGTCCCTCCTCAGCTTGGATTTTTCTCTTATATCTACAGCTTCAGTGGTATTAGACATACCTTTTTTTTTTTTCCTTTTTTTCTTTTTTTTTTTTCTTTTTTTTTTTTTTTTTTTTGTAGCTCCGATATTCCCCCTCCCCCCCCAAACCCTCGCGCGTTGCGTGCCTGCAATTCGGTGAAATCCCCCCCCCCTCACCCCAAGCCCCCCCAAACTCCTCTCGATCTCAGCCCGGCAGCTCACATCAAAGCGCCCTTCCTCACTCACAGTGGCCGCCACTCACTAATGGGATTGCAGCGTGCCTGGCTCTGCTGCTGCAGCCGCCGGAGGGAGAGTCGCCGCTGCTGCACCTCTTCGCCGACAGTCTCCGGGTGCTGAGCCGCGGGGATGATCAGGATCTTCCCGGATTTCAGCGTGCAGGTGACGGCGGCGGCCGGCGGGGCGGCCGGGGGGGTGCCGGCGGCGCCGGGTATGGGGCGAGCCGGCGCCGCGGCCAACGGCAACCCGCAAAACGTCCAGGGCATCACCTCCTACCAACAACGGTGAGCACCGAGGGGAGAGGGGTGTGCGGCTCTTCCCGAGGCTCCCTCACTTGCTTTTTCTTTGTGCTTTTGTGTTTCTTTGTTTCCCCCCCCCCCCCCCCCTCCCTTTATATATATTTTTAAAATCTCTCCTTGCTCTGTGATTGCTGGGGAGGGAGCTTGGTCGGAGGGGAGGGTTTTTTCTTTTCTTTCCCCCCCCCCCCCCTTTTTTTTTTTTTTAAATACAGCATCTTTTAAAATGCACTGAGAAGTAAACACAATCTCCTAGTTTTGTCTTGGATGAGCTGGAAAGCAACAATAGCGGAAAAAAAAAAAAAAAAAGTGAGACCCCGGCAGCTTAGCTTGGCTGCTGCAAAGTTTGGGATCCCGTCCGCTCATCCTTTCTAAAGAGGAATTTCTCAATGTCAATGCCTTGTGCAAATCCCAGTGTGTGGCAGCCAGGGGGATAATTGATCAAGGTATGCTGATTGATAATTTGCTTTCAACCAAGAAAGAGAACAATTTTCACTTGGGGTTGCACACTTGCAATTCCACATTGTAGTTTAACAATATTATCATGTCACCTGTTACTACAGGGAAATATAGCACGAAATCCTAAGTATACTCAGCACTGTTATTTTTTTCATCCTAAATGCATTCTAATGCAAATGCAGGAAATTCACAGAGAGCGCCTTTAGGAAGCAAAGCGCAGAAAGTTGGCAGTAAGTCATAATGAAGTTTAAAGACCTTCCCCATTCCCCCTAACAATCCATCGATACTTGCTGATACTAACACGAAGCTTAATTAATGACCTGACATTTCTTTGTGCTTCTGCGAGGCAAAACTTGAAGTTTGGCTCTGGTAGGTTTCTCTATGATAAGCTTAGCACTGAAGCCGAATCCTTAAAAAAAAAAAAAAAAAAAAAAAAAGCTGTCAGACAACAGATAAATAAATGTTGTAGGCTGAAATCGGAACAAAACAGTTACATTTCTTTAAATGCAATAAAAATGTCACTGTCCCAACTATCTCGCTTTCCCACATAGCACTAAATTAAGTCCTGAGGAAAATACAATATAATCACAAGTATCCAAACTAAACATCTCTCTAATGTAAAAGCAAAACCATAGAAAGTTTTAACGTAATATTTCAAACAATTGGTTGAGGGGCCAGATTCAGATAATTTTGCTGCTCAGCAACTTTGAGTTGCCTCCTATAGTTTTGGAAAACACCAGCTCTATTTTCCATATGATTCCCATGATAGAAAACATTTGTTGGTAACTTTTGTAGGTTTTAATGAAGGAAAAAACAATAGGAAGCTGATACTCCTGAAATAATCCCTAATGATGCCCCAGCACTTTCTCAGCTGAGGACCATTCGAAACTAAGCACGAGTCTCGTTTTGCTCAAGCAAACACCCCAGTCTTTCGTATCTAAACCAACTTGACTGTGAGAGATATAAAGAATGGATTAAAGTTGATTTCTTTTCACGGTTTCGGTATGATTTTTGTCACTTATAAAATATTTAAATTACAATGGAAACTGACGGACACTTTAACGAGGAAGTACAGGCAGCAATCACAATAGTTTAGTCTGTGAAGTGGGGAAGTCAAGGGTCAGAAATGTCAGATTGGCTTTTAGACAAATGAAAGAGACCTCTGGAGACTTTAAGTTAAACACAAGTATATAGACAAGGCAGCATGCGAATTTTCAGTACCTTGCGTTTAATAGTTTGATTATGTCAGCCTGTAATCAGACAGAAGTTAGGAAAGCACCACTTCTCCCCAAACTCCCAACACCTCTAATCCAAATGTTGCTTAGCGGATACTCAAGCGCTCGGACTAGTAAGAACCGAGAGCAGCCTGGACGTCTTGCAAACTAACCTAACAAGAGGAAACATTTTTGCACTTCTTCCAAGTATTAACTGTATCTTATCGGCAGCACAGCGCTCTTTCCATTGAACGATTTTTAATTCGGGCTTTTTGTAAATGCTTAAAATACAGCAGCCGCCGCCACTTTCTTGAGCGGCTGCAAAAAAGCGAGGTGACACCTGTTAACTTTTTTTTTTTTCTTCTTCTTCTTTTTGGAGGCGAGGAGACCCTTGCCGGACAGAAACGGCATGTGGCACTTTGCAGGTCGCCCCTCTCGCCAGCTCTCTACCCGCACCCCCGAGGCGAGCCGCGGCCGCGGCTGCGCCCGCGCCGCTTCCCCCGGCGGCTGCGCACCTGCGCGGCGGAGGCTGCGTGGCCGTGGGGCGGGTGGCGGCGGGGGGCTTCCCCCTGTGCCCCCCCTCCCTCCTTCTCTCCTGGGGGGCTCCGCGCAGCGCCAGGAGCAGGGTTAGGGGGGGCCGGCCGCCTCCTGCGGGAGGAGACCCCCCCGGCCGCCGGCGCGCACCCAACTTCCAGGTGCTCCGGCAACTTTTGCCCCGCTTGCAGGCGCGTTCCCGTCCCCTCCTCCCCCTCAAGCCCCCCCTCCCCTTTATTCTCTCCCACCCCCCCCCAGGCACTGTGGCAGAAAGGTTTGTCGCGGAGAAATGCTCCCGACGGGCCGGGCTGACCCGTCCCCCGGGCGGGTTTCCCCGGGAGCAGGATGAGGCCCGGCAGGCTGTCCTTCCAAGGCGGCGGCAGAACGAGCCGCGAAGTTACCTTGGAGATGGAAGCTTTCCGCGAAGGAGCGCTTTCTCCTTTAAAGCTCCTCGCGCCCGGCTTTTCCCGACGTCCTGGAGGAGACAATTAAGAGATAGCGGTTTCTTTCCCCTGCTCCTTTCTTTTGGGCTCAGTTTCATAACGTCCGGTGAAACGGCAGCAAGTCCTGCCCCCTTCCCCGGCCGAGCGGCTCCGCGCCCCCCAGCACACCCCCGATCCCGCCATGGGCGACCTCGGCCGCGGAGGGGACTCAGGGACTGGCAGGGGGCTGCTCGCGGCCGCTGCCGCCCGGCCCGGGGGCACCTCACCGCCCCCTCTCACGTCGGGGTGGGCACCGCCACCGCCCGGGCCCGCGGGAGCCCTCGGGGATGCCCCGGCCGTGGTCGGGGTGAGCCCGCGGGGTCTCCGCGCCCGCGGAGCTGCGCTGGGAGCACCCCCCCCCCCCCGCCCTCCCTCCCGCCTCGGCCCCGCTTCTCCGCCGGAGCCCAGACTCCGGCGGAGGAAAGTGTGCGAAACTGCAACTGAGTGGCGTTGTTGCGCCGGCAGCGGAGCCTGCGTCCGCTACACGCAGAGTGGGAGCGGAGCCGGGGAAGCAAGCTGGAAAATGCCCAGAAATACTTTCCCGGCGGTCAAGCCCGGAGAGCCCTGACTCCCCTCCTTCCCTCCCCAGCCCCCGCCCCGCTCGCCCCGTGCCCCGGCGCCCCGCGGAGCCCGGCCGCGGCCGCGGGGGTGCGAGCGGCGGCGTGCGGGTGTGCGAGTGTCTGGGTGTGCGTGTGTGCGTGTGTGTGTGTGTGTGTGTGTGTGTGTGTGTGTGTGTGTGTGTGTGCCGCACCTGCCGGGCGATGCCAGCGGCCGGGCTGCCCGCCGGGGCTGCGTCGCGGCTCGCTCTCCCCGCCGCCGCCGCCGCCGGCCGCCGCTGCCTGCGCTGGGCATGTCTCTGGGGCCGGCGGGGCCCCGGCTCCCTCCGCTCCTCGGCTTATGGACGGCGGCAGCGGCTGCAGCAGCGCTAGCGAGCGAGCGAGCGAGCAACCTGCACCAGGACCGCGCGGAGGAGCGGGAGCCCGCGATGCTTTGGCCTCAGTACTTTTCCTTAGCCTGTCTGGCTAACCGGGGCCATCGCTGCCGCCGCTGCTGCTGCTAGACACACAACACACACCAACATCAGGAGGGGGAAAAGTAAGGGAGAGGAGGAAAAAAAAAAAAAAAAAAAAAAAGCAGGAAGATGGCGCCCACCAAGCCAAGCTTTCAGCAGGATCCTTCCAGGCGAGAACGGTAACACTTTCTCTTTATTGAACCTGCAGCAGCAGCAGCAGCCGCAGCAGCGCCGGGCCGCGCCGTGCCGCCGCCGCTGGGGCCGGGGCCGGGCTGGCTGCCATGCCGGGGTGGGGGGACCTGCCGCCGGCCCCCGCCGCTCGCCCCGCCGGGCACCGGGAGTTCCCCCCGGTGCGTACCGCCGGCCGCCGCGCACACGCGCCGACACACGGACGCACACGCACACAGACAGACACACGGACACAGGGCGAGCCGCGCGAGCAGCCCCGCTCCGGCAGTCGCACGGCGAGCGGGCGTGCGTGCGTGTGTGTGTGTGTGTGTGTGTGTGTGTGTGTGTGTGCGCGGAGCCGTGAGGCCCCCCCCGGAGCTCCCCCCTCTCGGCGGCGGCGGGGGGGGGCGGCGGGGCGCCTCGCCAGGCCCGGCTCTCCGGGCGGCCCCGCCGGTGCGGTTCAAGTGCGGCTAGGCCGGAGCACGGGGGGGGGGGGCTCGCCGCCGGCTGCCCCCCCCGGGCCCTCCCTTTGCCCGCCGCCGCCGGGCGGGTGCCGGCGCCCCCCGGGGCGGGCAGAGCCGGAGCCGGTGCGCGGGCGGGCGGGGGGCGGTGTGCGGGGCCCGGCGGGGGGGCGGGGGCCGGGAGCGGGGTGCGCTGCCCCCCACCCCTCCATGAGCTCCGGCCGTCCCCCCCCGGCCGCCCCCGGGCACTTTTGTTGGGGGGAAGACCGCGCGCTATTAATCTGCGGCGCCGCTGACACGAATTGCCCGTAGCGGATTTGTTGTAGTAAAGTGAATCTTTCTAGAAGTGCCTGGTAGGAAACGGGAGTACAAGTTCATGTGATGTTACTTTGTGGTTCTTACAAAAGTCCTCGCAGCTCCGGTGCTGCACCGCCAGGAGATGCGTGCCCACAACGAGAGCAGCCGGAGGGGGTCGGGTGGGCTTTCTATTTCTTATTTTTTTTATCCCCTCTTTCTTTTCCCCCTTCCTCACTAGAAGGGAACTGGAGGGTAAGGGGTGAGGAAGGTTCCTGGCTTGTCGTAAAAATGAAAATTAACATTTAGACAGCTTTTAAAAGTAGCTGGATCGTGTGTTGCTCAGTTTATACTTCACAGCACGAGTAAGCCTGAAAAATATTTAACCAAAAATAAAGTGTTGGGGACTGGGTTAATTTTAATCTTATTTTCAAACTTTATTATTATTATTAATATTATTATTTTAATTTCAGTATGATCAGCTTCCAAACCCCACAGATTTTGTCTAGATAGCTATGTTATTTTTCCCAAGGAAGCGGGCTGCCCAGTATCAGGAATACATACATCTCATATTTGCTACTGAAGTGTTAGCGCGGCGGTGTTGGCTGCATTAGTATTAACTGTTGCACTTTGACAAGGCTATATTGATATGTAGCCAAATTTGGAAATACATGTAATGGGAAAACAGTGCATTCTCGGCAGTCAATAACTTAGAGATTCTCATCTTCAACTATAAATATTTTTTTAAACCTCCCCGTTTCAGGGGCTGTAGGGGCATTTCTACTGTGCTAATAACACTTATAGCGGCAGGCTTTTCTGCTGTAGAGTTCTTTGTTGGGAAAACAATTTGTATCAGTAAGTCCCGTCCCCCCCCTCCAGCCCCCAACACACAATTCCGCTGTCTTCTTCCTGAGAAAAGCACTATATTAGTACTAAGTGTATTTGCCAGGATAGCTTCAGTAATCTCTCCAGCAGAAGCATATTTGTGTGCCATTTTGGGAATTTCTCTGAGATAGGAATCTTGAAGATAGAATTAATTTCTAGGGGAAACTTCATAGCCTGTGCATGAGTGCTTTCTTTATCACCTGTCTCCATTTGGCATTCGGAGAAGGTAAATCAAAGTGCGCGATTTGTTATTCTGCTCCACTTGAGAGCTGAACTAAATAACACTTGGTCTGAAATTCTGATTGAAGTTGTAGGAGGATATACTGTATTTAATTTAATGCCCTTTAATAGCATCTTCTTGTTCAGCTCTGATGCTGTCATTTTAAAGGTTGGATCGGAGTAGTTTTTCCCTGTAGGGAGTGGGAGGAGTAATAATTTCAGGGGAAAAAAAGTAGTCTAAATTCCTAGAACACTAATAGCCCCAAACTTGGCCTAGTGTCCGAGCGGTTGCCTTTTGCCCTTAGGGTTCACTTTCTTACCGTTCTTTATGATGCTCTGAACAGTTTAGGCATAAATATCGTACGTGTGAGTTGACGACATCTTTTGTACCAGAAATAATGTCAATCTACATGTTCTCTTAAAAAGTTTCTGTAAAGATACAACAATGCTTCAATACACAGGCCCTTGAGTTCTTTTCCTTTAAAATTCTGCAACGTGCTCCTGAAGTCTTCCGTGTAACTGTTTATTTTAGCTGTTTTGTACACATCCTTTCAGCTGTACGTGTCAAGCCACTTGAAACGCAGGCACATATAAGTTACTTAAGGGGTTTTGCAGGCTCTTTTCTTAGTTGCTACTTCAATAAACTAGTTCTCAAGATGAAGAATCCTGTGAGTGAACTTTGCATACGGTCTTTGTTTAGTATTCTTTTCGACAATATTTAGATAGATGGTGTTGTTTTCCAGCAAGAGGTTAATAATTACAAAACAAATATAAAAGGTGTTACTCTTTGGTGCAAGCAAGCACTTGAGTTGTTTTGAAACTTTTCCACCTGTTTAGATTTGTGAAAGAATGTTTGAGAAGTTGCACACATAATTTGATTTTCTTTTAAACTATGAGTGTTAGCAAATTTTACAGTTACAGTAGGAGTTTAGGGTTTTTCAATTGTGTGGATATATAACCAAGAAAATTAAATAGACAGAAGTGTCATGCATATGATATGCCAGCATTGATTTGTAAAGCATATCATAATATCAGAGTGCTATTGCTTTAAAGTGAAAGAGAAAAAAAAAAACACACCTTTATTTTGGCATTTCTTTCTAGAGCATGAGCTTAAACATAGCAGTGATAAATGATGATATGCATTGTCTAACACTTGCTTTTATATAAATAGCTCCAGAAGATTGCTTAAATGATAATCGAAAATATGAAATAGGGTGGCCTTCATATCACAAGGCCAAGGGTCTACAAATGGAAAAACTGAAATAATGAAATATTTCCAAGGCAACAGACTGTCAACAAGAACAGTAATGCATGGGCATATCATAGAGCTACCAGAGAGGATATTAGATCTTATAGCTCTAGAGCCAGGAGTTATAATGACCTTTATTAAATAGAGCCCTCCCACATTACAACAATCCTTCCTATTTCTGATTTATGGATTAGCAGTCATACTACTCTTCATAATTTGAAACATTCTCCCACCATATTTGATTTGCTGCATTTTTCTCCACTGGAATCATACATTATTTAGAGCTTACATGAGAGTATTGATCAACAAAAGTTATATTACATATTTTCAGTAACTAATGGGATTCCGAATAACAAGGTTTTGTCTGCAGCACTGTTTCTGCATTCTTTACAGCACAACTGCTTTTTTTTTTTTTTTTTTTTTCTTACAAGTTATATCTAGTTAGCTTGTTTTATTCCATTATAGGAATACTGTATTGTAATCATATGTTATTAATACCTTTTAAATAATTAGAGAGTTACAATAACAGATTAAACCAGCACCCAGAACTGTAGGTATTTTATAGAGAACATCAGGATATATTGTCAACATCCGTCTCCTTTTATTAATGTCTCACTGGAATTTCAGACTCTAACATATTGGCAGTTTCAAATCACGTTTGTTTGAAACTTGGCACACAAGTTGCCAGCCCAGATGGGAATTTTACTGCGAGAGTGATGTAAAACAGTTGTTGAAAAATTGACGTTTGAGGCATTAGGTTTGTCAGCATTCTTACTAAAAAGTACAAATGGTTTAAATAAGTGTATTTTTCATAAAACTATATTTATAATGGTACCTTCTTTATTGGAAAATGTATTCTAAGATAAAAATTTCAAATAGTTGATACTGAACATGAAAATTAACTCATCATTTCATAAAGTATTGGGATTGATTCTGCTCTTATTGAGGTGAGTAGGATGAAGCCCTCTCACAAAAGTGGCAGGATTTTAATTTAGCATCAATTAAGTATTTTTTGTTGTTGTTAAGTTTAATGTTATGAGACATTTCCTGAAATCTCATCTCAT